AGGCCGAGGCTTGTTTTCTCGGTAACCAGGCCGAGCCACAGTCTCTCGTCAGTGAGATGAAGCTGTCCCTCTGGAAAAAGTCTAAAGGAGTGAAGGTGAGGAGGGGAAGCTGTCAGTTTACGTTCAGTTGCCTCACTGTTGTGGCTGTGTGTTGTATTTTTCTGTTTCTCTAGCTCTGTGTCTGTCCTGAGAGAATGCATGAAGAATGGAACCCTTGCCAAGTTCTTCAGAGAACGTCAGACATCCCTTTCACATTCGTTGCCGCTGGAAACATACCTTTTAAAGCCAGTTCAAAGGATCCTCAAGTACCACCTCCTACTGCAGGTAGGGCTCACCTCCACTCCCCTCAGACGGAGATGGGGATTAAATGGACAATTGGATACAGGGGTGTGGGGAGCCTAGACCATCACCCACCTTGCTGGCTACCTTTACGATGTCAGCCCATCCTCACAGGGAAGGGAATGAGGTGAAGAACATCCGGAAGATTCTGAAGAAGATACTTTTATCTGGGTTTCTGTGGGGGTGGATGAGGGGCCTTAGGGGGTGGGTGGAGTGGGTGGAGGGAGGGAGGGACGTGTCCTCTACTGGGCCTCATCCTAATCAATCTGTACCCATCCCCCACCTTCCTGTTCCCTCCAAGAGTCAGCAGAGGCAACGTGGGAAGGCCATAAGAAACAGAAGGAGGTCATTTCTCCCCTCAAGTCTTTGCAAGCTCGTGGCCAATCATCTGCGTCCATTCCACTTTCTTCCTTGATGCATTTATATCTGCCTGGGCCTCCACTACTAGGGAAGAGAGTTCAAAGATTTGTCTCCATCCTAAAAAGGTTGGGAGACCCCTTACTTTCATTTTGTGTCCCCTAGTTCTAGTCTGTCCCATGAGGGAAAATACTCATTCAGCATCAATCCTGATAAACCACCTCTGAAACTTATATATCTTAATCAATGACTTCACATTCTTCCCGTCTGCATGGTAACCAGGTCAAGGCTGGTTGCCTGGTGACTAGATCAGGACTGGTCACCTAGTGACTAGGCCAAGGCTTGTTTCCCAGTGACTAGACCAAGGCTTGTATCTGGTAACTAGGCCGAGGCTTGTTTCTCAGTGAGTAGGCTGAGGCTTGTTTCCCGGTGAGTAGGCTGAGGCATGTTTCCCGGTGAGTAGGCCGAGGCTTGTTTCCCAGTGACTAGGCCAAGGCTTGTTTCCCAGTCTGTCCAACCTTTCTTGTAACATATCCCACCCCTTCCTGTGTATCCTGGGTGTCAGGTGAGTGAAACCTCTCTGAACTGCTTCAATTGCACTCACATTCTTACTGAAATAAGAAGGGCAAACTGTAGAGAGTAGTCCAGATGAGTCCTCATCGCACTCTGTATAACCGGAGCGAAACATCCCTATTTTCATATATCATTCGCATTGCAATAAACGGTAACACTGCATTTGCCTTCCTAAGCACTTGCTGCTTCTGCAGATTAACTTTATGTGGGAATATGCAAATTTGTTCATTTTGGAAAGGGAGAACAAAAGAATGGAGATAATTGAAGAAAAACTGCTGAAAACTGCAACACGAAAGGACTTAGGTAGGGAGGGCATGTGCACAAAACACAGAAAGCTGGCACATAGGGCCAGCAGGGAATGAGGAAGGGTCATGGAATGTCGGCCCTTATTTTCAAGGGGGTTGGAGTATAAGAGTAGGGATGTCTTATAGAAACGATACAAGGTGCTGGGGCCACCACATCTGGAGTATGTGAGCAGTTTGGATCCCTTATTTAAGGAGAGATATCATTTCAATGGAGGTAGTTCGGAGAAGGTTCACTGGGATGATCCCTGGTCTGGGAGGGACCGTCTTATGAGCAAAGGCTAAACAGGTTGGGACTCTACTCCCTGGAGTTTAGAGGAATGAGAGGGGATCACATTGACACATATCGGATTGTTAAGGGTAAATGCTGAGAGGGTGTTTCCCCTCATGGGAGGGCCTAGGACCAGAGGGCACAGTCCCACAATAAAGGGGCACCAATTTAACACTGAGACAAGGAGGAATTTCTTCACTTAGAGGGTTGTGAGTCTTTGTAACTCCTGGCCACAGAGAGCTGTGGGGGCAGAGTCCTTGGGTATATTTAAGGCTGAGATCGATAGATTCCTGATCAGTTGGGGAATCAAGGGTTATGGGGAAAGAGCAGGAAATTGGATGTGAAGGATGTGGGATCAGCCATGGTCCTATTAAATGGTGGTGCAGGCTCGAGGGGCTAAATGGCCTACAGCTGTTTCTATTTGTTATGATGTTATTCCTGTACCAGGACACCCAGATCCCGCTGTCTCTCAGAGTCCTGCATTTTCTCTCCAGTTTAAGAATATATCCATTTCTGATTCTTGACAAGTTCACATTGACTGTTGGCCTCCCATAATGTTCATATCCCCGGAAGGAATTCTACCAAAACAACCTGAAACTGTCTCCCTGCAAGTAGCTGCTGGGAATGGCAGGGGTGATCAGAAAGTTTCAGAATGGAGGAGGTAGATGTTTGTTGGGTGATGGGACGGATTAAGGGCTGAGGATCAAGGTGAGTAAATTGTTCTTTGCAAATGGATCACCCACAATCAAATGGCATGGAGGTTGGAAATGGATCACCCTTGATCAAATGGAATGGGGTTTTGGACATGGATCACCAACGATCTAATGGGATGGAGGTTGGAAATGCATCACCCACGATCAAATGGAATGGGGGTTTGGAAATGGATGACCAACGATCAAATGGGATGGGCGTTTGGAAATGGATCACCCACGATCAAATGGGATGGGGGTTTGGAAATGGATCACCCATGATCAAATGGGATGGGGGTTTGGAAATGGATTACACTCTATCAAATGGGATGGGGGTTTGGAAATTGATCAGCCACGATCAATTTGGATGGGGTTTTGGAAATGGATCACCCATGATCAGATGGGATGGAGGTTGGAAATGGATCACCCTTGATCAAATGGGTTGGGGGTTGAAAATGGATCACCCTCTATCAAATGGGATGGGGGTTTGGAAATGGATC